GAAGGAATAGCTTACTATATTTAACACATGCTATAGGTAGTTTAAATACCTTATTATACTATTTAGCCTCTATAACGCCCCCAGGACCTTCTAGAGTTATATTAATAACTTAATCCTTAACTACCTTAACATCTTCTACACCACGTACCTTAATAATATCCTAGTATATAGTAACACCCCTAAAGAATATACTAACCACGTGCTAAAGGTCCTCTAATAGCTACTTAATCAAGGCCTATACATGGACATTAACAAGTGCGAATTTAGCGTTAAATAGGTTAAGTATCTTAGGCTAATTATAAGCATGAATAGCATTAAGATAGACCCTAAGAAGGTTAAAGTAATCCTTAACTAGGAGACCCCCTAGTCTATTAAGGATATATAGGCTTTCCTAGGGTTCTATGGCTTTTACTAGTACTTTATTAAGGCCTTCTCGTAGCTAACACACCCCCTAAACAAGATCATGAAGGGCTCCGAGACGTATATAATAAAGACTAGGAAATATTATATATACTATTAACTATTTAAGTAGAATCCTAAGTAGGAAGTAGCCTTCTAGGCCCTAAAATAAGCCTTTATTAATACCCTTATATTAGTATACTTTAACCCTAATAAAGAGACCTAGGTTAAGATAGATACCTTAGACTTTATGACTACTAGCGTGCTATCCTAGATACATGATAGCAAGCTACACCTAGTAGCCTTCTTCTTAAAGAAGATAGCCCCTATAGAGACTAACTATATAATCTATAATAAAGAGCTACTTATAATTATTTAAGTATTTAAGATATAGCGCCTAGAGCTCACTAGTATACCCCTAGAGGGCCTAGTAAAGGTACTATCTAATTACTATAACCTAGAGTACTTCATGACTATAAAGTAACTAAACTATTATTAAGCCTACTAGGTAGAGTTCCTCTCTAAATTTAACTTTAAGATCTAGTATCACCCTAGGACATAGGGAACCAAGCCTAATCTTCTTACTTATTAGTCCTAAGACCTCCCTAAAGGTTTTAATAACAAGCATGAGTAATAATAGTTTTAAATAGTCCTCTAAAATAAACACCTTAACAAGGATATATAGAAGGTAATCTATATAACCTTTATTATTACTACCCGCGCTCGCGTTACTATGGTTAAAGAAGCCCCTAAAGAACCCTCTAAAGCTACCCCTAAAGCTACCCTTAAAGCTACCCTAGAGCTAGCCTAGTTAGTAGATAAATATAATGTCCTAGACCTCTTCTTAGATACTAACTCTAAGGTGAGCGAGCCTCTGGCTACCATGCCTAATAAAGATATCCCTAGGGACGCCTATAGGGATGTTACCCCCAAAGTAACCCCTAAACTAGAGGCTAAAGCCCCTAAAGAGCCCCTAGAGAACCTTATTATAGAGGCCTACGCGAATAATAAGCTTATATAGGCCATGATTAAGGTAGTGAATAAAGGCCTACTATAGCTACCCGCGCCTATTAGATTCTAAGGCGTTAAGCTCTCTATAGCAGACCTAATAATACATGATAACTAGCTCTAGGTTAATAAGAGGCTCTATATTCCTAAAAGTAATTATCTCTAGTAAAGGATTATAGAGACTTACTACTAACTAACTACTACTAGCCACCCTAGGTAGAAGGGAATATACTAGAAGGTTATCCTCTACTATTATTAGCCACGCATGCGCGATGACTATAAGCACTATAATAACTACTACTATACCTACGCGCGCTTGAGGGCCTATAATACCTAGAAATAGGGCTTACTTAGGCTGCTACCTATTCTAGAGTGAAAGTAGCTTAACATCTCTATAGACCTTATAGAAGACCTTCCCCTATATATGCTAAATAACCACACCTACTACCACGTGCTAATCATGGTTAACTACCTAATAAAATAACATATCTTCAAGCCACTATAGACCAAAGAAACTAGTGAGCTTGTAGAGGTCATGCACTACTATATCTTCTATAAGTTTAGTCTCCCTTATTTAATTATATTAGACCATGAGAGTACCTTTATAAGCCACTTCTAGTACTAATACTACACTCGCCACCATGTTTCTATTAAACTATCCTCTACTAATCACCCTAAGACTAATAAGCAGTCTAAAAATACTATCAAGGGCCTAAAAAATTACCTCCATACCTACATTAACTACGCCTAGGATAACTAGGCCTGGTTCCTACCTAATACCTAGTTCGCCATGAATAATAATATTAATAAGATAACTAGTATAATACCTTTCTTTACCTACCACGCCTACCACCCCTGTACAGGCGCTGAACCTCTAGGCATGTATAGGGATCCCCTAAACCACCCCTAGGCACTCACCATGGACTAACTAGTTTAATACACGCGCGAGATTATGGAATTCTTTTAGGACGAGATCGCCTGGGCCCAAGGCTCCCATAAATACTATACTAACTAGTAACGCCAGCCCCATCCACGCTATAACATGGGAGACCTCATGTACATGAATACCTATTACTTTAACCTCTAGTAGAATAGCGAGTCGTTAGCCCTAAAGAACCTTAGGCCGTGGCTAATCAAGCGCGTGATTAATAGTAAGGCCTATAAGGTTAAACTACTAATTTATATACTAAATACTAGTATTACCCCTATTTTTTATCTATAGAAGCTCTATCTTACCTTGAATAACCCCCTCCCTAGCTAGGTAGCTAACCCTAAACCCCTAGTTATTATCACTAACCCTAGCAATCCTAAAGGCTATGAGGAATAGGATGTGCGCGAGATTATTAACTACCACATGTATCACAACCACTACTAATACAAGGCTATATTTAATAGCCCGTGGGATGAGTGGAACGCTAATCCTCCATAGTAGCCCTAGATAGATTTTAAAAACGCGCCTAAGAAGATCCTTGCCTATTACTAATAGCACCCTAAGAAGCCCCTGCCACCTAATTTCTTTAACTAAACTTCGTGTACACATCCTTATTCTATCCTATATCTATGTCTCTAGCCGCGATATCTGCATTATTAAGGGGGGGGGTAGTGTCATGGGCCTCGTCCCACTTAGGCCATTACCACGTGACAATTCTCTATATATAGTCGGTCCCGCTTCGTGGAACCTCTATTAGTTCTCCATGCTTCGTATTTTAGTTTAATACGACCTTGTTCATCGAGAGACGTTCCTTACACCTTCCCTTTAAAGATAATATAAGGTAGAATAATATATCCCATTAACCTAATACACTTAATCATGGTAACCTATTCTTACTAGCCTAGCTAAAGAAGATAAGGCTTCCTAAGTATCTCTACCCTTATAACTACCCATAAGGTTGTAATTAGGCCTATAGTAAAGCTAGTTTTATAAAGTTATAGATATCTTTATGCTATATACTATTCTCCTTATACAAGGCCTCTAGGGTCTTAAACTACTAATTTATAGCCTTGGGATCCTCGTAGAGGGCACGCTAATAGTTATACTTACGCGTGAATTAACTTTTAATAGTATTATAGCACTTAATAAAGCTAGTAACCTAGTTCTTCCTAGGTAGCTTTAGGGGGGTTATTAATTCTACTTAGAGGAGAAGATATACTATTTACTACACATGCGAGACCCTCGGAGCGACTCCTTATTAATCTCTAGATAATATCTATTTAACTAATACCTCTTCCTAAGTTTTAGAGAGTTGGAATACGCGGTTATAATATTCTACTTGAAATTCATGTCCCTTAATGCGATCGCGGAGTGTTATATAAGGTATATTAAAAACCTCTATAGCTTAATAAATACTCGGAATTTCATGTTTTTTTAAAGTATTAATTATAAGTTAAATCCTCCCCTCTTACTTAGCTAAATTTTGATGAGATTAACGCGGTTTTCGTGGCATGGTTAATATTTGAATAACTACGCGTTGAACACGCGATGATTTTTTGGTAGGTGATCAGACCGGCCGGGGTGATCGGACCGCTCATGAATTACGTTATCTAAGTACATTCGCGAGGGCCTTACAGTTTGCAGCTAGCTATCAATAGCTGGATCGCTAGTGCATGATAGTGTATCATGTTTAATATCTACATTATTCTAGTTATTTTATAAGTTAAGCTAAGTTATTTAAGCCCCCTAAAGGCTTATAACTATCCTATTTATATAAATCATAATTCATTACTACAAAAGAGTATTAGGTTAGAGATTAAATATACTTTTATTACTTTATTCATGTTTCTTATTATTACTAATGTAGATAATAATTACCCTGTGTAGCTCTAACTACCTTAATTAAGAAGATAGTTATTGTCTACATATGTGTCCTCGACAGGGACATCACCTCAAGCCCTGCATAACCAAAAAGAACACTCTGTGTCGAAGGGCCGCTGGACTAAGAGTCATGCGACTCCGGCCAGGTATTTCTCCCGGCGAGTCGCTCACACTGACCAGACTTTTCATCTCCTCCTCTAACGCGTTGCTATCATCCCACCACTCCCACATCTCTAAGACGCTTATGAGTCTCCTACAAGAGAGTAATAAAAATATGTAAAGACATACAACATTAGGGATTCGCATGTGGTCACCCACCATACTACTAACCTACCGGCGTGTGGCTTAAGCGTGGCTAGAAGTCGGGTGGGTGCCGCCTGGGTGAGCTTAGGGTGAGGCCGCTTTATGGTCGCGAGTTGGGTGAGCGAGGGTGAGTGCACAAGAGACAGTCCCATTTGTTTTCTGATGGCTGAACTGACCCTTTGGATGCGGAGAATAGATTTTACCATGGGCAGTAGAGCAAAGGGAGCGGCTTTTTTTTTTGTTTTAGAAATACTTTTACATAAGTATCTGCACTTAACTATCATTATTGCATTTTTAGCCAACCAATCGGGGTCACGCTCGGCTGTCTTAATTATTCAAATCAATGGATGAACCTCGGCTTGATGTTTTTATTGGATTACTGATCATTGCAACCACATGTATTGCCGTGTTGATAAAATCTTTATTTTTAATAGTCTATTATTATCTGATATCCGGCTAAGTTCCTGGCCCTCATGTTCCCCTCGCCACTGTTGGTCACCTGTCAACCGCCAAAACACGAAAAATATAAGTCAAGAATGCCAACAGACTCGATGATCCTCCGTCAAATCGGCTTCAAGCAGCTGAGTCAGGGCGTATTTCTACAATCACTTTCCAATCAAGGATCTCAGGTTGAGAAATCTAGCTTGCCATATTCAAGCCCAGCACATTCAAGTCCCGATGTGATAATCATCTGCGCTTGGGGATTCGCCCATGCAAAGCACATTGCAAAATACATTTCTGGACACCAGTCGCTCTTCCCCACCTCCAAGATTCTTCTCCTCCAGAACTGTGTCGCGAACATTATGTGGAAGTCGGACTCTTTCCAGATGCAATGGTTCCAGCCTGCCGCCGCTGTCCTTTGGGAGTGCATCGACACAAAACCGGACCTAAAAGTCCTCCTTCATTTGTTTTCCAACACTGGCTCTCACTCTGCAGTCCAACTCGCCGAAGCCTGTGCACTCAACAATCCTCCATTCGCGCTGCCAGTCACATCAATTATCCTCGATTCCTGCCCCAGCATGCCCATCTTTGAGCCAATGGCCAACGCACTTGCGCTGGGCGTGCCCTCCAGGAACATAATTATCACCATCATCGCGAGAGCAGTGGCATACGTTCTCGTCGGATTCACTCTTGCCATCGAGAAAACAGGTCTTGCGACTCACGCAGCCACGAAACTATACACCCAGCTAAACAGTACAAACGATGTATTTCTCGCTCGGGGTGCTTCCACCGAAGACCAAACTCCTATATCCCCGATTCCGAGAACTTATATATACGGGCCTGATGATGATTTGATCCCCGTGGACCAAGTTATCCAGCATGCAAATGTTGCAATTGCGAATATGTCGGCGCGTGGCATCAACGATGCGTCGAAATATGTGGCGATGGAAAAGTTTGTGGGAAGCCCACACGTAAATCATGTCAAATTTGAGAAAGAACGGTATTGGAGAATTGTTCAAGAGACATGGCAGAGAAGTGTTGGAAAGCCCATGGAGAAGAAACTGGCAACTGATGATGCTTGAAGACGAGGAGAAATAATTCTTCACATCCTTCACACCGTGAAGCCAAAGAGGCAACCTTTACACCTTGTGGTTGTATATGGGACATTAAATAAATGTAAGCACAAATTCACAGAGTGAAATAGGTGAAGTGAATGTGAGCCACCGCGGGTGTTGTTTCGGAGGCTACCGAACATAGCCATTTTGGATTGGAGATTTAGCATGAACATTTTGACAAAGGCCTTGACTCATTTGGAGAATCGCCAGACTTTCATTTTCTTCGCGAAGTTGTAATCTATCTCGACCTGATTACAGGTATCAATCATCACCATAGTTCTTGGAGAGTTCAAACCATCCAAAATGCCTATCTAGGATGTAACAAAGATAATTGCACGCGCTGAGAATCAACAACGCTAGGATACTGGTAAAATGAGCCGCCTTTTTCCCATAGTAGTGGTCGACAATGAAGGAGTTGATTAAGCCGCCCATCGCACTGCCCATGCCTAGTGGGCTGAAAACAAGAGTCCACATGACTTTATAAAAGAGGTCTCGGGTACCAGTCATGATGAATACGCCGACGGCAAGGAAGATAATTTCGGCAAACAGGAGAGTTCAACCAGAAGAGGAGGAAGGGACGGATGTAGATCTTGCGTCGTTTCTGGGCGGCTTTGATGTCGTCCGCCGTGGTTATGATGGGTTGATAGGTATTTGTGGGCGCCATGGTGGTTTTTGAGAATATCTGTCCTTGGCCGTAGATATTTGATAACCACGGTCCTTATATAAGTTCATGAATCTTGTTTTGGTAGAAACGACTACCGAACTTGTAAAGATATGTTAAATGTGATCAAATAATACACACGAGGTTTGCTTTATTTTCACACACTGTATTCGCCTACTTCGCTCTGTGAGCGATGATTGCTGCCATGATTAGTTATCTCCACGGTTGCCGAAAATATGTTTCGGACAAGACCAAATCTTTAGTCTTATTCTTTCTCAACCCGGAAGAAATGATATATACACAGACTGCCATTTCACAAGGAAATCCATAATATGAGGTCCTAGTCGATAACTCTTTAACTAACATATGCTGTTCGCTTGCTTTGAGGATGTGTGTGTACTTAAACCCTCTCTTCCTGATTTGGCTTCCTTTCCTTCTTCTTTTCTCTCCAGTCTTGATACCTTCGTTGAATGGTACAGTTTGATCCTGGATCTTTCTCTTGACCCGTAACACCGCCAACTTTCAATAACACGTAAAAATAAATCTAGTTCCGAATCTATCTGATGTCAACTTTCTATTTATACTGAAATGCTTTCCATTCGGACATTGCGCTATTGCGGTCACCTGTCACACTTGCCTACTAGGCCGATCAGCGGGGATATCACCAGGCACTTAGCTTTGTATTTGATGGTACCTCGGCCCGGACTGTTCACTAATCTTGATTATCGGCCCATGGGTACTGCCCTGGCGACCCTGCAACGAACCCTGCTACAATTACTTGACTGTAAGCATCTCAAGATGAGAAAGGCTTGACTTCTTCTTTCCGAGAGCCGCGGTCGGTTGCTTGATTACTTTCACTATTTCCGGGCCATGGATGGTGGAAGATTTCCTGGCCTCCATAAAGGAATCAACTCCCCACGCCCATATTGCATACTTCCACCAACTTTGACCATCTTTTCAGTGTCAACTACCAGAATATATTGGCAAGATGGTTGGCAATATTCGGACCATCGCTATTCCTGAGACATACGTCAATGCAATCGATAGCCCTGTCCGCATTTCCAATTTCCCTCACTCGGAACATGAAGTTACACCTATCCAGGTTGTAACTCTGAATCGACCCGACAAACTCAATGCAATTACCGGAAGCATGATAGATGCTCTGATCGCCTTTTTCACGACCGTTGATGTCGACAGTCGAGTCAAAGTGGTCATTCTGACAGGCTCAGGCAGAGCATTCAGCGCCGGAATTGACCTGAGGCAGGACTACAGCCAGGAGAAGAACAAACTACGGCCTAGCGAAATGCGGGATCCTGGGGGTACACTGGCGCTTGTAATGTTCAATTGCAGTAAGCCAATTATAGTGGCGTACAATGGCCTCGCTGTTGGCATCGGCATGACATCTACTCTAGCAGCGACTATTCGGTACGTAGATACGCCCTGTTCTTATGTTACCAAAAACTAACTGATGCAAGTATTGCACCGCGCAACTCCGAATTCGGATTCCCCTTTTCAAGGATTGGGCTGACAATGGAGTCGTCCAGCTCCTTTTTCCTCCCACGCATGGTTGGATATAGCAATGCTACGTATCTGCTGGCAACAGGGAAGCGATATCCTGCTCACTCGTCTATCCTGCACGGCATCTTTGCAGAACTTGTTCCTGAACCCGAGGATGTTCTTCCCCGAGCCTTTGAGCTTGCGCAGGACATATTGTCCAACGTCAGTACCATGGCAATCCACCTGAACCGGCAGCTCATTTGGCGGAACCCTGGTTCCGCGGAGGGCGCGCACCTTGTGGATAGCCCTCTGTTATATGACATGTTTGGTGGAAGGTATGCCCCTAGCTGAGATTCTGTCTTCATTATTCTCATTATTCTGACGTCCGTTAAATTATTCAGGGATCATCTTGAATTCAAAAAATCTTTTTTTGAGAAACGTCAACCGGAATTTAGCGATGAATTATCAAACGATGCGCCTCGGACATACCCTTGGTGGAACGAGTTGTCAGTGAAGACTAGACCAACGGCCCAGAAAACTCCCAGGGGTAAACTGTAGCGAATTTGGTATCCAAACATGAACTCCCAGAGGAATGAGGCACGCCTCTGCATCGGGCTTTCCGCACAACCAAGTTAGAACCTGTCAGGCTCTTGTTGGCAGCCCTGCTTGATTATTCTTGCAGACAAGGAACTGGATATTGGACCAGAAGCTTTAGTGCATTAAGCTGCAACGCAGTAATGTAAGTGTGTTTACAGGCATCAAGCCAGGATAATTAAAAGTGAATGCAGTAAAGGAGAGCACGCTAAAGAGACATGGCCATTAATAGTTATGTTGGTACAGAAGTAGATTTTATCCCTAGGTTACATCCAGCTCGAATACTCACCTAGGTGTCCGCAAAAGCTTTGCAATCTTTATAGTTGGCAATTTCATAGACTACAGTTATTAGTTAGCTAAGGTGTATTATTACTCTAGTAAGCCCTTGGACCCTAAAAAACAAAAGTAGATTCTCTAGAAGTTCTTTAGCTATTTGTGGAAGCTGGCCAGCCTAGCAGATATATAGTGTTTAATCTTTATCTTTCCCTATACTCGTAAATCTAACCCCTCGTCCTTAAGATGGCGCAGAGCAACCCTAATAAAAGGCTTGTTTACCTAGCGTGCCAGCATATTTTCCATGGCCCTAACTCCACGACTCGCAAGCGGCATAATGTAAAGAGCTTAATCTAATAGAACAACCTGCTCTTATAGATCTTCTCTAAGAATATAATATTAACTACATATGTAATATTGCTAAAAGGCTTCTTAATAATTTTTTTTTTCTAAACTTGTAAACAAAGATCCAATTCCGTAAGCTATTTAATGTGTCATCTGCTTCAGGTATTAAGGCACTCTGCCATTCACTGTTATGGAAGGTTGGCCTCTTAAGCCTTCCTAAACCTTGGAGCATGTTGACCTAAGCCCTAATAATAGATTAACTTACTTAGGTTTGCTTAATATCTAACTAGTATAAAGACTAGTTATAGTTAGGGTACGTATAAATAAAATAAAGTAAGGCTAGTCCTTACTATATATAATAAAGCCTATTAAAAAGTACTAGATAAAGTATTATTATAGAAAATTTCTTAAATTAGATTACTTAGTGTGAAGGGCTGAAGCCGGACTTATATTCAATCTAGCTAGGCCACGAACTGTGTACGAAAAGCTTGGAGAAAGTGTAAGAGTCTTAAAGAGAAGTTGATCAGGTATAATATCACCAAGGTAGATATAGAATTAGGACAAAACTAATCCTTGCTTCGCAAGATATCTGGGACCTTTAGGGGACCTAAGTAACCAGCTATTAAAAGAATAATATTAAGTTAAGGTCTCTTAATCTCCTTAGTTAACCTCTTAGCTCACCCCTCAGCCAACCTCCTTAGGTTGTGTGAGCAGATCAGCTAAGTTAACTAAGTTAATTAGTTAACCCCTAGCTATTAGCCCTTTCTAATAAGCCTAATCCCTTAGGCACCTCATGTACCTAAACTATTCTAATTAGGGGCCTGACCCTTTAGGCATCTAGGCTGCTGTAAGGCCCTCGCGAATGTACTTAGATATTTCCAACCCATGGTCCTTAGTCAGCCCGCGGGCTGACTAAGCCTATAGAGAATTTCCTCTGCTCGTGAAGGGTTGATTCTAACCTTTAGTATTAATCTACTATAAGATCCTGTCGAACTTCACCGCGTACGTAATATTTGGTCCACCGCCAGAAGAATATGAAGGTCTGATTCAATGAATCTAGCAGCGATACTGCACTAAATACAAGAGAAATAGGGGTAATCTAACTAACTAAAATAGGAAATAGAAACGATACAAGGAATGACCGAGCGGGCGCTGACTAACAGTAAGTTCGGCGTTGAAGCGGAATACTAGCGGTCTCTAAAGGTCGACACACCCCCCCAGCGTCAGCGAGGTCATGTACAGTCCTGATAGGTTGAAATATCAGCTGTGCGCGAGGATGCCTGTTTAGTCTATAATGAGGCTCTTCACATCAACTAAACCAAGCATCTTCATAAATTCTTGGTGTTTTTGGTCTGGTAGGACCTTCGTAAGGCCATCCGCGGGCATCTCCGCGCTGGGAACCCATCGGATATCAACGTGCTTTGCCTGAACTTCTTGACGAAGCCATTGGCCGTGTATATCAACATGTCGAAGCTTCGTACGGATCTGAGGATCCTCCTTGGTAAGCAGGTTGATCGTCTGCTGGTTGTCACATAGGATTGAGATCTGGTGTTCTGGATCGAACTCAATAGCTTCAAATAAGCGCTTCCACCAGAACATCGATTTCGCGGCTTCGGAGATAGCCAGTAGTTCTGCCTCAGTTGTAGAAGTGGTAACTGTACGTTGCTTGCTTGCTCGCCAGTCAATTGGTCCTCCATACAGCTTGCAGAGATAGCCTTCGGTGCTCCTTCGATCTTTGTGGTCTGCAAATGAGGCGTCACTTGCGCACATAAAGGTCTTGTTGGGATCTGTCATGCCTGAATACTCGATGGCGAGATATCGCGTGGCATAGAGATACGCAATCGCTCGATCTACTGCCTCAAGATGCTTCTCTGAGGGATTAGTAAGGAATTCAGCAAGCTTATTTACCGTACGAGCAGCATCTGGTCTCGAAATGATAGTTGCGTATAGAATTGATCCAACTTTCTGTTGGTAATGGTGTATCTGTGCTGGTGTTGCTTGATCCTCTCTAGGAACTAGCTCGCTGCATGCCATGGGCGTCTTTGGGCTTTGGATTCGGTCATTTAGATGGTATCGAGCAGCCATCTTGTCAATGTACGAATCCTGACATAGCCAGAGCTTCCGCGCTGTCCTATCTCGAATAACACGTGTTCCTAGGAACCAGCTTACCTCTCCTAGGTGGCGGAGCTCATATCGTCTTTCAAGCGCTTGCTTAAAGCGCTGTGCTTCCCTGCGTGCCTCTGGATCCTTCTTATTAACCACAATGATATCGTCCACGTAGAATATCACGAGAAGATGGTGGTTTGTAAAGAGACATTGGTCTTCGTTAACTACTTGCAGCCCAAATTCCTTAAGCGTTGCGGACAGATCTTTCTGCCATAATCGAGGGGACCTTCGGAGGCCATATAGCGCGCGAATAACCTTCCAGATCTTCCCTTTAGCTTTGAAACCGTCTGGTAAGCTCACATATACGTCCTCGTCAAGTAATGCATTCAGAAATGCGTTTGTAGCATCATACTGCGTGGTGTCCAGGTCAAACGCTGCAACAAGGGCCATAATTGTCCGGAACGTGCGTGCAGTAAGTGTAGCAGCTCGCTTTTCTTCTGCAGATTCTGCTTGCAAGTCTCCTCGTACGCAGATACGTGCTTTGGCCTTTATAAATTTGCCATCTTGATCGAACTTGTATGTGAAGACCCATAGTAATGGTATCACACGATCCCGTCCTGCCTCCTGTTGTTCCACTACTCTGACAGTTCCTTTCTTCAATATAGCTTCGTATTCAGTTGTACACGCGGTCATGAACTCATTTTGAAGCGGGTGTTTAAGCATCTCATTCCAGGATCGCGGTGGTGCTGGCAAATCGTCTCGATGAAGTTGTTTCAGTGGCGTTTGACAGGTTAAACCTATCGCGAAGGCGCTCAGTAGGCTATTTGCTTGATCTTCGTACGCAGCGTAGGACTCAAACTGAGGGTCTCTCTGTGCTCTGCGTGATCTTCTGCCTTCAACAATGTTACTGGGGTCGACTTCCTGCCTAGGTCTTCGGACCCTGGTGGGTTCACCCCCCGAGCTTTGAATCTCGTCATTCTGCAACGATTCAAGAAGTATTCGACTTGGTGAATCATCTCTAGGTCGATCGTACGACTCTAGTCTGTTGTTTTCAATCTCCGCGGCTGATTCAGGCGTTGGTCCTGGGGTTGAATCTGGTGTTGGTAGCAGAGGTGTGGGGATCTCGCTTGTATCCGCAGCCTTACTAGCTCCGCTAGCTCCGCTGGCCTCTGTTTCTTGTACATTTTCAACCTCCTCGTCAAGGTCTGGCATACTAAGATCTTCTGCCAGTAAATCCTCTAATCTAGAGGTCTGCAGCACCTCTACAGGCACTTCAGGGCTTACCTCCTTGATTAGATCCTCCATAAACGGTTCTGTTGGGTCATATAGTCGAGATTCATCAAATACAACATCTCTCGCCTCTTCAACCTTCTTCTGCTTTGGGATCCATATCTGCCAGATGTTCGAAGCCTTGTATCCAACAAGATATCCAATAAGCGCTCTTGGAGCGACCTTCGCGGTTCTCATAAGATCCTGGTTCCTCATATATGCGCGGCATCCAAAGGTGTATAGGTTTGCAAGGTTTGGTTGCTTTCCATGCAGTGCTTCGTACGGAGTCTTCCAGTTCAGAGCTCTAATTGGTGATCTGTTTAGCAGAGCTGCAGCTGCTTTGAAGGCTAGTGGCCAAAGATCTAGTGGTAATCGAGCATTGACCAATAAAGATCTTGCCTTCCTAATAATCACCCCCCCAGAACGCTCCGCAGGGCCGTTCTGCATTGGATGACCACGTGGAGGAGTCTCATGACGAATTCCTTCATTCCAAATAAGGTCTTTGAACCCTCCTCCAAGCGTACGCTCGTTGTCAGAACGATATATCTTCACGGGCTTGCCATATTGGTTCTTTACAAGGTTCGTGAAGTCTTGAAGCGCCTCTGCAATCCCATTCTTCCGTCCTGATGTGTACACAACATGGTTGTGCGTTGCCTCATCGTACAGATGAATACACCATCGATCTCCGTTGAAAGCTTCAGTTAGTTGAATCAGGTCAAAATGGACCCTTCGAAATGGCTCCGTTTCTCGCTCTGCTGATCGTCGAGATATCTGTTGATCTGCAGACGATAAGATGCATGTTTCGCAGGATTGAAAGCCCATAGATCCTCTATTAAGCATCTTGACTCCTGTTGATGCCTCTGGTAAGTGTTCCAGTGCTTCATAGTTTAGGTGACCCATCCGCTGATGCCAAAGATCTATATCCCCATCTAAGATAAGCGGTTTCTTAGATTGCTTAATTGCGTACGCATCTTCTTGCTTGCTTGGTGGTTTGTATTCAATGACCCAAAGGTCTTGAATTGTACGCAGATTACAGATCTCCTCTTGATCCTTGAGAATACGATCATTTTCAAAATCCCATCTATACCCTGCTCTCTTCATTCGCCGAGCAGAGAGGATATTAGTATGGAATCCAGGCACGAAAGCAACGTCTCTAAGCAAGATACTGATCCCTTTCTTGCTATTAGGCGTAATTCGTACGTTGCCTCTGCCCTCTATCCTCATAATCGTGTCTCCTGCACGCAGCGTCCTCTGATCTTCTTCCATGAAGTCCTGGAAGCGAGATCGATCGTTGCATACGTGCACTGAAGCTCCAGAGTCAAGAATAAAACAATTCTGGAGTTCGTACGATGATTCTGTTGAAAAGCTAGTTGGAATGACTGCCATTGCGTGCTCCTGCTGGTTATCCTGGCTTGACATCGCGGAATTCTTTTCCATTGCCTTCTTCAGCGCGAACTGTACTCCATTTCGTGGTCCTTTTAGAAGCTTCGTGAATCGTGCTTCTATCTCTGGCTTAGGAGCCCAGTTTGATGGTTGCTTTAAAGTCATAACGTATGGGCAATCAAGAAATCGGTGAATTGCTCCGCAGAGACACTTTGGTCGTGGTAAGGAACCTGGTATGGGTTCTGGTGCTTCATCTGATTGTCCTTTTAGTGTTGCGAATGCTGCATCTGACCTAGATCGACGTACAACTGCAATATCTGCTGTATAGCCTCGAAATTGAGCAAGGATCTCCGGTAATTCGATCTCCTCATCTCGCTGTAGGTCATCGAAACGACGTTCAGCCCAGGAAGGTGAATGTCTGCTAACTGCCTCTAGAAAATGTCGTACGGCATGCTGGTCTTTCACCTCTGGTCGATCTGCAGCTAGGCACTCTAGATAGGCTGCCTCAAAGGTCGCAAGCCAGATCTCTAGATTTGAGTCCTTGATAGAGGTCTTTCTTGCTTTCTCATACTTTGCGAGTATCATTCGACTCTGCTGGTGCTTGCTAGGAGCAAATTGAACCTTTAAAGCCTTCAGGATATCGTACACTGACTCCTTCCCATAGATATGGTGAATAAGCAGCGTGCTTATCGATCCGCGAATAGCTTCATTGACCACTGCAAGTCCTCGCTTGATCTTCTCATATTCATTTGACTTCACCGTCCAGAGTTGCATGCGCATCTTCCATTGTGATTCTGGTAAGGCTTCAATGTCTGGGATCTCTGGTTTCTTTGGTAGCTCTGGTAGCTCCTCCTTCTTAGTATCAGGGTTGATGTATTCCCATACATCTCGTGCCTTCGCTAAGCTTTGTATATTATCATACCAAGCGCGCCAATCATCTCGAGACTTCAAGATGATTGAGACCTTCGTTGCAGCGCCGGCATCCATGTCGTCGTACGATAATCGCTTCGGGATCGTTTTCGGGTCGATTCTCGATTCAGGGGTATCAGGGGTAGGTACTCTCGATTCGTCGCTCGCGGTACAGTATTCTCGGAGAAGGTAGGTCTGAATAGCTTTAATATAGTCGAAAGAAGCAACGAAGCAGTCCTATATGCGTGCCGGGCTCATAACTGTCGAACTTCACCGCGTACGTAATATTTGGTCCACCGCCAGAAGAATATGAAGGTCTGATTCAATGAATCTAGCAGCGATACTGCACTAAATACAAGAGAAATAGGGGTAATCTAACTAACTAAAATAGGAAATAGAAACGATACAAGGAATGACCGAGCGGGCGCTGACTAACAGTAAGTTCGGCGTTGAAGCGGAATACTAGCGGTCTCTAAAGGTCGACAGATCCTTATTCTTAGAATAAACCTATCACGATAACCTATCTACTCTTATTATGACCTTTCATACTACTTGTAAATCTCTAAAAGGCCAAGGACCTTTATAATTTTAACACTCATCACCACGAGTGGTCTGTTAGGAGTAATAATAGTTAATACACAAGCAGGGTCGCGACATGGCTAGAACCCTTATAATAAGATACCTCGTGATAGCGAACTAGGCCCCTCTAGAACCTAGAATATAATCTATCCCTCGTGAGAAGGGATAATATCCTTAATTAGTAAAGGCTTAGAATCCTCGTAGACATCCACCCTCATGCCTACTAATTTAGGGGTAATATTCAAGATACCTAGTTAATAAACCCCTCGCGAGAATAATCTAAATAAAATTAAAGACCTCGCGAGCCTTACTACTAAAGAATTATAATATTAAGTTAAGGAACTATAATAAGCGGAATATATTATAATTCTTTAAGGGTAAACTACTATAGTGCCCCTTTATAAGCATGCTTGTATAGAGTTATCACCCTATACTCTACCCCTAAAGAGACCTCTACTTTCGTGACTACCTATAAAGGATGAGTAGTACTATACTACTATATACGCGAACTACTATGAATTCACGTAAAAGATACAAGCCTTTAGGAATACTAATAGCTATATAGAGAATAACCTACTACACCTTATAGTCTTATACCTTAATTTAATACTCTAAGGACTATGGAGTGTAGAGTTATCTATAATATATTCCCTAACCTAGGATAACCTCCGCGAATTCCTCCTTAGATAGCTAGGAGATCCCGCGGACTATCTATATACTATATAGAGTAAGGCCCTTCGTATGTAAAGCCTAGAGGGTAAGAGTAACTATACCTACCTATAGTAATAGCGCGAATAGTAGTTAGAATTAGGTAAAGAAGGTTAAAACCTTAATACCCTCCTTTTATAAATATTCTTCAAATTATTCCCCTAGAGTATAAAGTAGAAAGTCTATAAATAACTAAAGTTCCTAACTACTCTCACGGACCTTGTCTTACTAATTATGAAATTATAACTAAGTATTCTAATACTAACCATGAAACCACTACTAGCGAAGAAGGATAATAATAGGTAAGGGAATAAAGGATGTTCTAGGTTACCCCTATTCTAGAGAGCTTGCAGTGGGGGTTACTTTACTTATAGAAAAATAGGCTAATACTAAGTTAGATACCTACCACCATGAGGTGCTAGTAACCATCCATAAGAATACTTCTATTATAGGAAACCAGGCTATTATAAGCCTAATTACCTAGACCTCGCAAAGGATAATAGCAAGGGCCAGGCCTAATATAAGGCGCCCGTGACTATAGTAGCTATATCTACATAACTAACTCTTACTAATAGGGAGTAGCTTATTATAGAGAGGATTTTCCTCCCCATGAAAGTAACCCTACCTAGTAGGACTACCATGGATCGTGAGGTACTTATAGATAGTAGGAGTAAAGTTAATATAGTTCCTTCCCTACTTATAAAGTAAGTAGGATAGAACCTTCTACCCTATTAAATCTTTATATAGACTATAAACAAGGGGTAGCTACGTAATAAAGGAGTTATAGAGGTGGTTTTCTAACTTTAAGACTTACTAGGCACCTAGAAGGAGTTTAAGGTGCTTGTGGTAGTATCCCTAGATATTATATAAGTAACTCTAGGGATGCTATAGCTAAAGATTCATGATCCTAAGACCTACTAGACTAAAGGAAAGTATATCTTCCATGGAGATCCTCTAAAAGTAGAAAGCATATCTATTAAGGATTTCTTAAATAACGTTCATGAAGACCCTAGATAGGTATTCTAGGTTAGTATAATAGACGTGGAAAAGGTAATTATGGGTAAGGACCTACTAATATAGTATTAAGACCTCGCGGGGGTATTCTCTAAGGAGGAAGTAAGTAAGCTCCCTCCTTACTATAAAGGAGTAGACTTAAAGATTAAACTAGAGCTAGGTAGGGAGCCTCTATTTAGGCCCCTCTACTACTACTCCCTATAGGAATTAGCTATAATTCGCGAGTATGTCTAAATTATACTTGTAAAGGGGTGGATAAGGCCTTTAAAGTCCTCCACGGGCACACCCCTGCTATGTGTACCTAAGAAGGATAGGGGGATCTATATATATATTAACTATTATAGATTAAATATGATATCCCTAAAGAACTACTACCCCCTCCCTCTAATTAATAAGATAATTACTCGCCTGAGTAGCGCGAAGATCTTTACATAGCTTAACCTTCGTGATGCTTATCATAGAATATATATTATAAAGGGGCATGAGTAGAAAATAGCCTTCTATATAAAGTATAGACTATTTAAATACTTAGTAATGCTATTTAGGCTTACTAATACACCCGCGACGTTCTAAGTATATATGAACTAGGTGTTTCGCGATCTACTAGATATCACTATAGTAGTCTACCTAGATGATATCATTATATTCTCACAGGATATGAAATCACACCAGAGTCATGTCCACGAGGTGCTAAAGAGGCTATAAGAAGCAGGCCTTTACTATAAGTAAAGTAAATATACCTTTATAATATAGTAGATTAACTTCCTAGGGTATATTATTACACCCTAGGGGGTTAAGATAGAACTATTATAAGTAGCTACTATCCACGACTAGCTAATACTAGAGATAGTTCGTGATATCCTCGCCTTTTTAGGGTTCATGAACTAGTACTAGTGGTTTATACGCTCCTATATAAGTATTATCATGGTACTAATAGATCTCCTTTACAAGCCTAAGGATGGGCTAGTATAAACTATTAAGGATAAGGAGAATATTATAACCCTAGAGGCTCGCGAAGCCATGGAAATCCTAAAGGAGAAGTTTATAGAGATGATTTACCTAAACCACTTTATAGAGGATCTACTAGCTAGGCTAGAGATAGATACCTTAGGTAGGGGGCTCTACGGAGTTCTTACCTAGTTATATCTAGATAGGATATAGAGGCTAGTAGCCTTTTTCTCATGAAAGTTATCTTAAGTAGAGAGAAACTATATAATAGGTAAGTAAGAGTTACTTATAATTATAAAGTCCTTTAAAAAATAGAGGTACTACCTATAAGGTAGCTACTATAAGATTAAAGTTATTACTAACTATAAGGTACTAAGTATATTTTAGTTACTAATAAAGGTGCTATTATAAATATAAATTCACTAGTCCTAGTTCCTAGTAGGATTTAGGTTCTAGATTACCTATTATATAGGTAAACTAAACCCTATAGATAGCCCCTTATAGAGAGTTAACTACCTAAGAGAGGATTAACGTGAGGAAGACTAAGGTAGTTATATAAAGCAAGCTAAGAATAAGCTACTCATGTAATTAGGGCTTATAGACATGTAAGGGACCCTAGGGGCATCCCCCTATAGGATAGACACTACCCATGTTATAGTAGTCTAGGCTTTATAAAGGTTCATGCGTGAACTAGAAGCTAGTAATATTATAATTATAGAAGGTTATAGACCTTAGATATTAGGGTAAGAATAGCTCGCGACTATGGCTATAATTACTATAGATAACCTCCTAGAGATGGAGGTGCCACACAAGGAAGTATAGCAGGCTTATAAGGAAGAAGGGCTATTTTAGAGTAACCCTTTATAATACCTAGTTAAGAGTATCTCTACTCTCCTATTATAAGATAACCTTGCAAGGAAGGTTATGGGCGCCTTAAGTAACTATAAGAGTTATAAGAAGGACCCTAACTAGAAGAAGAGTAATCCCTAGCCTTAGATTAGGTAGGAATTATAAAAGGGACTTCTCTATTACTAAGGGAAGCTCTATATCCTAGATTATTATTAGCTATAGATAGAGATCCTTATAAAGCTATATAATAACCTAATAGTAGGTTATTTTATAGAGGAGTGAACCTATAAGCTAGTCTCACAAAGGTTCTTCTAGCTAGATATATAGAGATTTATAGTAGATTACTATAAGGCTTGTAGTATCTATTAGGGCTCGCGTGTTATTTATAATAAGTAGCAAGGCCTGCTTTAACCCCTACTTATCCCTTGCGAGCCATGGGAATAGATTAGTATGGATTTTATTACTAATCTACCCGCGAGCATTAAGTTTAAGGATTTAAGTAGCTCGTGAGAGGCATATAATACTATCCTTATTATTATAGATAGAATAAGTAAGATAGCATACTTTATCCCTATATAGAAGGCTATTACTAGTAAGGAACTTATATTTCTAGTTATCTATAAAGTATTTTGCCTTTATAAGGTGCCTATAAATATAGTTACTAACTAGGGAAGTATCTTTATAAAGGGCTTCTAGTTAGATTTTATCTACTACTTATAAATTAAGCACTTAATAAGTACCACGTACCATCCCTAGATAGATAGCTAGATAGAAAGGTTAAATAGTATTCTTAAGTAATACTTATAAGGCTATGTTAACTTCTTATAGAATAACTAGGTGGACTATACCCCTCTTATAGAGTTTATATATAATAACTCATAATAGGCGTCTATAAAATCCTTACTATTTTAGATCCTATATAGAATAGATCCACGAGTGATTATACTTGACCTCTATATAGGAGAAGAGGTGAGCTATAAAGTTAAAGACTATACTACCTATATCCAGGAGATCCACGAAGCTGCGCGCGAGAATATTATAAAGGCCTAAGAATAACAAGTAAAGTAGTATAATATAAAGTAAAGAGAGAAGACCTTTAAGGTTAATAAATATATTTAGATTACTAACAAGAACTAGTTATGAATACGCCTAAATAAGAAGCTTGATTAATTATGAGTAGGGCCTTAATAGATAGTTAA